GCGACAAGTTGTTCTTCAAAATTACAGACATTTGCATATCAAATTGGCACATAGTGTATATCGCATAAATATTGCTATGAACATGTGATGTGATAAAAGTAACCTTCCGAGACTATGATAGCGACAACTTGTTCCCTTACATAAGGGCGAAGTCATGATAATTTGATACCGAAACTCTTGCAATTAGTTTTGGTTTGCTCTCGCAAGCAGTGTGGTGGGATATGCACATGGTCAACCACATGTGTTGGTGAAAAAATGAAAATTCTGAGGAAATTTTTGGGAAATCCCCGCTGGTTTTTTCCACATTCATAACCGAATTCGTTATATAAACTCCTATAATTAGGAGTTTGGAAACTACTGAGCTCAGCAGGTGAGGAAAGCAATTACATATATTCCTACTCCAACACTGCTCAGGTAGTAGTAGTTCCTGATGAAATCCTATCTATTCAAAGTGCCATAACGGACCTTCGCGTTCACCATGGATGTAATCTGGTTATCACCACTGGTGGGACGGGCTTTGCCCCGAGGGATGTCACTCCGGAGGCTGTAGTCTCAATGATCGAAAAAAGAGCTACTGGAATCGAACATATGTTGTTACGATGTTGCCGAGGTAATTTTGTGGCGCGCGGTCAAAAAAATTTCCCCTACCCATTTTGGTGCAGACCGATCGAAGAGTGGTAAGTTTGTCTACCTGTCTCGTCCGGTTGCTGGAGTCCTCAAGGGTGACACGGCGTGTCTTGTGGTGACACTGCCGGGGAGCCGACGAGCAGTGGAGGAAATTCTCGGTGATAGTGAAGTCGTTGACGTATTAATGGAGGCTGCTAGGATTGCGGTAGGGTCATGATTTTTTAAAATTTCAAGTTTCTGAGATCAACTCCTTATTCGTTGCGTTTTTGGTATGTCTATGCGAGCTCTACCACAGGTTTGGAAAAAAAGGAGTTTCTACGATTACAATTCTGGGTGATAGTAAAATCGTTGACGTATTGATGAAATCTACTAGAATTGCAGCAAAATGATGAATTTTCGAATTCTTTGAGATTTGTTGTGATATTGGTATGGCTATTCAGATGCCCATTTAGAGTTGAGAAATAACGTTCCCTAGTGTTTGATAACAATGGGGAAAATGTTGCTAATGTGATGATGACATTTACATGGGAAACTGATTGAAGAATGTGTTCCTAGCCATCCGTGGAAAATTCAAAATGAGTTCCCCCTCGGGAACATTATAGGTTCTCTATGTGTGTTACATAATAGGTTGGGAAATATATAATTTTTCCGATGGCGAATTCCTCATCGATCGTCGAAGCAGTGGAGTCATGGCCTGTGTATCTGATTTGGTTCATTCATCACAACTCTTATTACAATTTGCGGTTTCACGAACTGGAGGCACTTGCGGAGCTATGTGGTGGCGTTAGCAAGGAGAGCCTATATGCAGTGGATGATGATAAAAAGGTGACAGAGTAGCGAATTTATGATAAAAGTTATATATTTGGAAATTATTGGAGTTTCATCCGTTTTACGTGAAGTGGCGTAATACTGTGTGAAGAATTTATGGTGATATTATATTTTCGATATTCGCGACCAAATTTTATTTATTAACGGAGTTTCACCCTAGTGATATGAAAAACACTAGTGAAAAATATATTTCACGATTACTGCATAGCGCCGCGAATATCGCGTTTTTCACCGAGTTTTACGCGACTTCACGTAAAACGGGTGAAACTCCACTGTAAGTAGTACATGTATTTTGTATTATCGTTGGAATTGGAGAAGTCTTTCAAGTTCAGCTTGAAAATTCATCCGCTTTATAGGAGTTTCACCACCCGTTTCACGTGAAGTGGGGTAATACTCCATGTGAAAAGCCCTGATATTCGCGATATGAAGTCAATTGAAAACACTTGGGGAATTACACCGGACAAATCACCCCGTATCACGTAAAACATATCACGTGTTGCACATGCGTTTTTCGCGAAGTGAAATATGTTTTTCATATCACTAGGGTGAAATTTCATTATATTTTATGAACTGCTGAGCAACTCTATTTTATTTTCGTTGCTGTCAGTCCACACCAGTTCATCCCCCTACTGCTTCAGTCGAGTCACCTTGGGTTTATATCAGATTGCCCAACGATGAAGTGGCTAAGGCTATCGCGGAAAGAGCGGTGCTTGTGAAAGTAGGACGGTTAGGAAGTGTTGGTTATTTCTATTGAGTTTTGTAAGGAAAATTATGTTGATCGAATATGCAAAGTCTTCACTCGGTTTTTATTAGATTTTACGGATGTGAACGCAGTGTTCGCGAAATATGTGTTCGTGTTTTCTTCAGCTGAGTCTAAGGTGTTTCCTTACTCATTGTAGGAGTTTACATATGTATTCTGGTAGAAGTGTACAGAGGTCAATAAGAATTTCCCAAAATTCCCTCAGAATTTTCAATTTATCACCAACACATGTAGTTGACCATGTGCATATTTTCCCCCGTTTCGTAAGAAGTATTATTACACAAGATTTTACTCAAATTTGTAAAAGTATAATAAATTTGATGTTGAACCAGCGTAACAAATGCGAACATAACTGCACTGAGCAGTGTTGGAAGAATATATGTTCGCTTTCCTCGGCTGAGCTCGGGAAAATATTTACGAACTCGAGCAGGAGTGTATAGGACTCCTCAGAATTTTCATATTGTCACCACCAACACGACATTGCTACTGTCACTATGTCGCTCACTATGATCATGTTACGTCGTAGGCCATCTTATCGGTATGGGGAAGTGGAAAGACTATCCCTGAAACCATCGAGGATGTTAACAAGCACATGCCTCGTGAAAAGCGTCGCGCTATCATCACCGACGAGCTGTCGTTCAAATATAAATTGTTCGCATATGGGCGGAAATTCAACAATCGAGAACGTCAAGAACTGATGGATGCATTTGGTTGCCTCTGGGACGGCGACGAGAAGGTGGACATTGAGAATGCTCAGACTGTAAGGAGGATGTGTGTTTTTGGTATGGGCGTTTTTTATCGTTATTGGAGTTTTATCTGTGATGTGAAAAACATATGTCATAATTCGGGTGAAACTCCATCATCACTACTATTTGTATTACTAGAAAAGGAGTTAATTTTTTCACTGTGGTGACTATCGCTGGCAAAAGTGTTGGAGGAATATATGTTCGCTTTCCTCAGCTGAGCTCAGGAGTTTCCTCACTAGTTAGTAGAAGTGTATCGAACTTGAAAATTTTATCATAATTTTCTTCATGTAGTTGACAATGTGCATGAGTAATCTTAGACGATCTGGCTGATTTCGGAGTATGAGCACGCTAAGGGCCCTGGTGATATAAAGTCGAGTAAAGTGAAAAGACACTTCTGTGCGCGAGAAGTAAGCGGTGTTGGGAGGGTGGTCACTCTTCTCAGCTGAGCTCAGGAGTTTATTCACTGATAACAGGAGTCTATATACGGATTAGAATTAGAATATTCAGAAATCAGCAAAATTTATCCGAAATTTTATCGAAACTTTTACATTGTCACCAACACGTGTGCATATTCCCCCCTCCCCTCACACTGGTAGCAAACTCAAGGGTTGTCACTCATTTCTGTTTTTTTTCCGCACTGACTCGTTGGGGTCTACTCTAATCGGTGTTGGAATATTTCTTCGGTTTCCTCAGCTGAGTTCAGGAGTTTCCTCACTAATTATGAAAATTTACACACGACTTGGGGGGCAGAAACAAAAATAAATTTCCCGCAAAATTTTTTCCCAATGCACGTAGTTGATTTTGTGCATATTTCCCCACATCGCCTCTACCAGTCGTTGACTGTCGTTCATTCGAGGTGTTCGATGAGCGTTTTTCCCTGGGTCGGAATTTTTCGCGCACAGGTAACCGCTGGGCGATATGAGGACAAGCAAGAGCCGTATTTCGCTCGGTATGAGCTCACATGCAGACCTGTGCTTGGCCCGACCAGTCTTGACAACGAACTCGCTTTTATCATGGCCAACTTGGCAAAGATAGACAAGGGCAAGATTGTGTAAGTGCGGCAAGCCTCATGCTCTGTCGAGGAATCCTTCATAGTGCGGTCATCTGTGTGTTCGCTTCCCTTAGCTGAGGTTAGGAGTTTCCTCATTAAGTGTAGAGAAACGAAGAGTAATTTTCCCGAAATTTTCTCGGAATTTTAATGGAGTTTTACCCGTTGTACGTAGAGTGGCGTAAAACTCCGTGAAAAACGCGATATTTGTGCCTTGCAATAGTCGTGAAATCTGCTTTTCATATCACTAGGGTGAAACTCCAATATTGTCGTCAACACCATAGTTGACTATGTGTATATTTTCCCGTTAGGTACGACTGTTTCGTGGGAACAGGTGGGCTGGCGCTCACGGCCTCGCATTTCGGCGCTTTCGTGATGGGTTCTGATATTGACATCCGAGTGTTGCGGGTAAGATGATGTACATTGTAAAACTCGGTGGTGAAAAACGCGATATTCGCGGCGCTATGCAGTAGTCGTGAAATATATTTTTCACTAGTGTTTTTTACATCACTAGGGTGAAACTTCATTAAAAGCAGAGAATTTCGATATCAGTTGGCCAGTGTCGTTATAGACCAGTGTTGGAGGAATATATGTTCGTTTTCCTCAACTGAGCTCTGGGAGTTTTCTCACTAATATACAAATTTGCGTACGCAGTGTACAGAAACAAGTAAGAATTTCCGAAAAAATTATGAGAATTTTTACATTGACTATGTGCACATCTTCCCACACTGTTTGTTATGTAGGGTCATCGAGTGGCGTACGCCAATGAGGGAAAGTCGCCTTTGCTCGACGCGGTGCCTGGGGACAGCGGGCCGAAGGACATCTCGATATTCCGCAATTTCCTCTGCTACGGCCTGGCTCGTCCCGAGATCATCCATGCTGATATGGCCGCGCCGTTTTGGCGAAAAGATGCTAAGACCGGTAAGTTGATGTGAAGGTTGAGATCGTCAGTATGTGGGCAAGGACAGAAACCAATGGTTATATCCGTTTTCTGAGGTTAATCTTGAGAACAAGATCAACCTCAGAAAACGGGTGAACATAACCCGTTTTCTGAGGTTATGTTCACCACCTCGGAAAACGGGGGGTGCTGTATTAACTATAACTAACTTGTTCTAACTATACTGAAACAAAACCAATGGTTATGTTTCAATTGATAGAAGAATCTGACGCTTTCCTGGGAGTTAAATATGAACATATGTAGTGTTTTACAATACATTATACTTCTTGTGCAGCACCCCTTGGGCCAAGGGTATCGCTGCGGGTTCCGCCTGAGTAGCCCTGGTAAAGTTACGCGTATACATGTTACCGTGGTGTCAGTGGGTCAGTGCGTTATAATCAGTAGTACACCCTATGAATTATGTAGTTATGATTGAACGGTTGACCTATGAAGTTCTATAATTTCTTTTGTATAGCACTCTTCCAACCAATAGCCAGTATAGTTACGGACTGGTGTATAGGTGCGATATTTTTGACCTTATGCAGATCCGTAAAAATAGTGTTTCTCGTTCATGAATGAGAATTGAGCATAGATACCGAGACTCTGCTAGATTCACCATGCAGAAGTTCTTGTTCGAAGTGTCACGTGCTCCTTACAAGAAGAACATGTTAACATTTTCAGGTGGTTTGGTTGACGTGATTCTTACTGATCCTCCTTATGGAATTCGTGCGGGCACCAAACGAGTGGGCGCCAAGACCGAACATGCGGTGAGAGCATTTCGACCTGTTGCTGTAACCGTACTTGTTTGCAGATAGACGATAGGGCTACTTACATTCCACAGAAGGTGCGCTATGAGACGGATGATGTTATGAATGATTTACTGCAGAGAGCTGTGGCCATCCTGAATGACAATGGAATGCTAGTGTGAGTCGATTATTGCTTTGGTGTAGAGGGACTGCAATAGTGTAGGTATTTGTTACCCATTGAGCTCTCACAGTTGTTCACGAGTGAAGAACTGGACATGATGGAGAAAAGGCAAGAAATGGCTGGTGACAATCCGGCGGAGAAGACGAGGAAAAGGAAGAGAAAGCAGGAGGCAGCGGCTCGAGGGAAGGTGGCGGCCTCGACGCGTGTTGTCCTCCGTGATGAGACGGTGATGATGTCGCGTAAGTCTGGCAATGGTTAAAGTGGTCTATGCTGATGGCAGGAGCTGGCCAGGGGCCCAAGGGCGAGATGGAATATAAACAATGTGTACAGTATCGTGACGTGTATGCTCCAGAAACCGCCCGAGATTTACCCTTCCTTACCGAGAGCAACTATTTGCGGCTATTACCGACTTGTCCGAAAGAGCTGGAAGTCGTCAACGTGAGCCTCCAAATATTGAGTGCTGGATTAGGAAGGTGAGATTCGGTTCACAGCGTGTAGTGTTGTTAAGAGATCTCAGACTGGTTGTGTCGATGAGAAGACTTCCTCGTCAGCGATAATAGTGATATTACCAGTAGCTGTATTCACACCACGTTGACTGTCTTTAAACGCTGTGTCTTGTTCGAATAGTTCATAGCCCTTAGAGGTCAGAAAGAAATACAAAGGCGCTTATCACAACCCGGCAAATGTCACATATCTCCTCTTTCGGTTCTTTTCGTTGTACTGTGAATTGCTCAGCTCTCACGACGAACAGTAACAAACAAATTCTTATCAACTTCGCCAAGGAAATATTACACAACGCTTGTTAGTGTAGCGGGATTTTAGCATTCCATTTTTCAAACGTTACGTCAATACGGGAACGATACCCATGGTTGATCCGAAATACCGATAACAACCTGCACACAGTCTATGCCATCTCTCGGTACTTGCCGAGGAACTCGCATAAGTTATATGGAAGACAGACGATTGATGTGGTGGCGTTATTGGGTACGATCCGACGTGACCTGACGTGACCACGTGGAGACCTAGTCTGGCCACGTCCAGTAAGCGATAACAATATGCTCACCCTGAGATTTCTTAGCGATATTTGGTGCCTCGTGTCTCACTCAAGATATCGTCAAAATCAGGTGTACTGTGTTTGTCCATCATGACATTCTTATCATAAGGTTCAGCCTCATCAATGGCCAAGCAGTAAAGTCTCCCGTACCACCAGAACAACGAAAGAAAACGTCGGTGAGCTTTGCCGCAGTGCACGTGTTTTGTCGTGTCGGCTAACCTCTCACCCTCTCGCATTTCATGCGACGCATACGATCGACCCTTGACAATCTAATTTGCCATCAGCGAGTTGCCATACCGAACTCGATAGCTACGTACGTACGTACGGTAGGTAATTCACACGTGTGCATCGTACACTGGGTCTGTTATTACACTCGAAAAGAACGCAATTCAGTACGAACAATTCCACAGATTGAGACAACTCGAAATCATGCCAATTTTTTTCCTCAATAGCCGCGTTTTTGCAACTTCAGCTGTCGCTGTTTCTCTTGAAGGGCAGCGAGCCTTTTCTCAGCGTGAAGAATCTGGGCAATTATTCATACTGTGCTCAGGTGCACCGAACTCACTTCCTTCTTCAAAGAGTTCTTTGCATGTTCAAGCTCCTCAACTTCTCTTATATCAGACAGCACTGATTGGGTGTTGACATACTCCAATTTCAAGTCCAGTAACCTTTTTGTGTCAGAAGCGAGCTTACCTGATGAATTGCAGAGGAGGGCGGCGACTGCGCGCGCTTACTCGTGAGTTTGCTCAAGAGCCCTCGCTTGGTAGTAATTCGTTCACTTATGAGAGCATCTGTAGTATGTTGCTGCTTTCTATTTTCAAGGAATTTCTTCTCGATTCTGTTGAGAAGGGACCTTACGACGAGGCATCCGTCTCCTTGGAACTCGTGATAAAACTCGCCAACACACAGGCACGATGGGAGGTGTGCAACACTCTCTGGATAACGGATAAAATGTCCCATCAATTGATTAGTAGTTTATAGTCGACATATCAGCTACAAGGACAGTGTTGGAATAAACGTTCGGTTTCCTCTGCTCACCTCCGCAGTTTTCTTGCCAATTACAAGAGTTTACACACGACTTGAGATAGAAATGTACAAAAACCAATGAGAATTCCGATAGAATTGTCACCGACACACGTAGATGATCATGTGCATTTCACCGCACTGTACGAGGATGACGGTATAGAGCCGAGCAGAATAATTCAGTCTTGTTTCAATAAAGAAGAAGTTCACTCCTCACTCCAGTTTGCTGCTATCGTGGCGTATCCTGGCGAGTCCCTCTATATCTGACAGCCAGCTACGCTCCATGATCAGAATCGTGCATTCCTCAGCAAATGCCTGAGTCCATCACCCCAATGGCATACCGTAAGTTCGACATATCGCATACCTTATCTCGGGCGCATCTTTTCAGCTGATGCGCCGCTTCATCGGCCGCCCATGTTTTTCTCATCTCATCAGATTTCCGGAGTAACCGGTTCGTGGCCTCATCCAAAGCTTCCCTCTCCCGCAGTAGTTGATTTATGAGTTCGATCTATAGAAGAAGTTTGTCACGATACACTCGACGGAGGCGCTCTACTTGCGTTGTCTCGTTGTCAACACAAAGATCCTCCTCAGCTGCGTTGAGTCTTCCTTTCACAGTTTGCATGGAACTTTCCGTTGCCCGTAGGAGTTTCGTGTGCTCCTGCTCGTCATCCCTGCACCAGAGTTGTTGTTCACGTTTCCTTCAAGTCGTGAACAATAGATGCATCAGTGGACTGGGGATCTCATCAATCTATTGCTATGCTATAGCTACACCCAGGGTTTCCAAGGAATTCAATGAGAACGATGAGAAATGCTACCAAGATTTGCAGTGTATTTCTGTTTGGCCATGTTCAAACCTCATTTCAACGGCGTTCATCAACTGACAACAACTAGTGGCGTATCCCGCCGGGAGTAAGTAGAACCCACTTCACGATCAAGGCTGATCAAGTGTCGCAAGCAGTCCGCAGTCTCGAATCGTCTAAGCATGTCAGGAAGAGATGCTCGTTAAACGGCTTGCGATGAGTACTTGCGTTCCCGTATCGCAGATAGAACATCATAAACGTGATGTAAACGGCAACCTTCGCACGCTGGGAAGACCTCAGATTTGACAAGCTTAGCAATTATCCCGCCACGACTACAGCAGACCACCTGCTTTGATGAATCATCTGGTAAAAGCATGTTCGAATGTAACCCACTTGCTCCATAGTTGGAGTAGGGCGGTCGGATCGTGATGAACTAACCTTCTTTCGGGAGGCAGAAACCGCCGTTTGAGCGCTTTTTCCTGCCACGCAAAGAGGCACTGTCAGTGGTAATCGCAATACGAGTTCGAGATAGCGTTTGTAGCGTTCAGTGATGCTTGCTTATATGATATTATCTTCCTGGCCATATTGATAACCAGTATATTACTCATAATGCTGAAGTTTCACCCGTGATAATAAAGAGCATATTCAACTTTTCAGTTCACGGGAAACAATTGTATTATCGATCGCGGAAATGTATACGTCTTATGATTTATATGGAGTATTACTCCACTTCATGTTGAAGTGGAAATGGGTGAAACTCCAATACTAATATGAATACTTACTACTTGCATCATAAGTATTGCTTGTATTATGCGTATTACTTCAAGTAATTTACTTGTATGCTAATGTACTACGTCTACTATAATACTGGTTAAGTGGGTGGCGATATTCATTGATCGAGAGAAGATATAGTCTAAGAGTCTTACCTCCGGTTCTCCCAAATAAACCGCAGAGATACCCCGTTCCTTGAAGCGAAGCGATAACGCCTTGGGCGGCTCTGGCGTTGTGAAACATAATGAGAGTACCTGATGAATCTACGTGGTGGTCGACAAACGGCGCCCCTTTGTAATATGCCGATATCATTCAGAACCACGGGATCATCCAGGAATCTATAATGTTCTGGAGAGAACTCACACATGACTAGGAACACATTTTTTAATCAGTTTCCCATGTAAATGGCATCATCACATTAGGGGCGTTTCCCCCATTGTTATCAAACCCTGGGGGAAGTTATCTCTCAAAGCTAGCTGTGTCCATGACACTAACAGTAGTGACCAAGATGAGCCCAGTTACAGAGCATCCTGATATGCACTCTGCGACGTTCTTGCTATTCTCAAGTTTGGATCTTGCTTCTTCTACGGTTTACTATGTTATCACTTAGAAAAGGTATTTCTTCGTTGACTGTTGTTATCAGTAGTCGTTTTTCCGTCACGACTTACCGGATGACGTGCCAACACACATCTTCATCCCGCAAGAAAGGAAATATATCATAACTTCTCTACTAGCGATAAGCTGTCTGAAACTGAATCTGATCATAGGAAACTCTCGGCGAAAACGGTCATTTACCAGAAATAGTTACTCAGTAAACGCCGAAAAAAAATTTAGCAATCACAGATCGTGAAATAGTCAAATGTATCCCA